AACAGGACTTCAAATCGTGTTAAAAACAAGCCCAAATACTTAGATAGTTACTATTGTAGTTCTGTTTCCACTATTCAACTCCATATCCTATATCTCAATTTCTTTCATATGATAAATGTTCGTCTAATCATGTCTTTTTTTGTCACAACATATCTGTCCAAGATGAACCTTCTTCCTACAAAGAAGCTGCTCAAAGTGACTCTTGGAAAGAGGCAATTGGTTGGTGAAATAGATGCTCTCAACAGAAACCAAACTTGGACATTAGTTTCTCTACCTCCTGGCAAAAATACTATTGGTTGCAGATGGGTTTATAGAATCAAACATAAAGCAAATGGCTCGGTTGATAGATTCAAAGCTCGTTTGGTTGCCAAAGGGTTTACCCAAACCAAAGGAATTTACTATTTCAAAACTTTTTCTCCTGTTGCAAAGCTTACCACCGTCAGAATTGTTCTTGCTCTAGCCACTGCTTCTCATTGGTCCGTCCATCAATTGGATGTTGATAATGCATTTCTTCACGGTGAGTTGGATGAAGAAATCTACATGAAGCCTCCACCTGGCCTATCTCTTCCTCATCCAAAGCTTGTTTGTAAGCTTAACAAGTCTCTTTATGGACTTAAACAGGCCAGCAGAAACTGGAACAACAAGCTTACTTTTGAGCTTCTTTTTCTCGGTTACTCTCAAAGTGTTGCAGATTACTCTCTCTTTGTTAAGTCCTCTGGTTCTGCTATCACAGTTCTTCTAGTTTATGTTGATGATGTTGTACTCATTGGCAATGACTTATCTGAAATTCAAAAGGTTAAAAATCATCTTCATGCTAAATGTCATATCAAAGACCTTGGCCCTCTTAAATACTTTATGGGATCGAAAGTTGTTCGAACACCAAATGGATTGATTTTAAATCAACGCAATATTGTTTGGACCTTATATCTGAAGTAGGTCTTCTTGGTTGCAAACCTGCACCTACACCTGCTGATCCTGCTATCAAATTACATGCTGATGAAGGAGTGTTACTGTCTGATCCCTCATCTTATCGCATACTCATTGGCAGACTTTTATATTTGACCCACACAAGGCCTGACATTTGTTTCGCTATTCAACAACTCAGCCAATTCATTTCTTCCCCACGGGAACCTCACATGCAACAAGCTTTAAGAATTATTCGTTATTTGAAAAATGCTACAGGATATGGTCTGTTATATCAGTTCAATACCACTCTTAAAGTTCAAGCTTTTTCAGATTCAGATTGGGCCACATGTGCCACTACCCGTCGTTCAGTTTCTGGGTTTTGTATCTTCTTAGGTGCATCTCTAATTTCCTGGAAATCCAAGAAATAGACCACTGTCTCATGGTCCTCAACAGAAGAAGAATACCGTTCACTAGCCTCTTTGACTTGTGAACTCCAGTGGCTCCAATACATCTTTCAAGATCTGCATTTTTTCATTCCAACCCCTTATGTTACTTTTTGTGATAATAATTATGCCATCCAAATAGCCAAAAATCATGAGAGAACTAAGCACCTTGAAATAGATTGTCATCTTATACGAAAAAAACTCCTTGATGGTCCTATTCATCTTCTCCACATTCCTTCAGCCCATCAACTTGGAGATGTCTTCACCAAGTCTCTTCATCCTGCACCTTTCCTGCATGCCACTTCCAAGCTTGGCATTCACAACGCTTATGCCCAGTTTGAGGGAGAATGATAGAGATATACAATATATCTTCTTTTATTTTCGGTTACTATTCTTTTTTTTTTTTTTGTATTCTGTTATTGTTATTTTTCATGGATACCAATCATTTTCTGATCTTTTGTTTAAACTGTTATAGCTTGATCTTATATATTCAAGCTTCCCTTTTATAATAAGTTAATATAGAATTTCAACACATGAATAGTTCTGATTCAATATTTTCTCTTTGTATACACTAACAGATAAAGATACGGTTGTTTCACACCTCACATCACAACTGATACATTGCAAGGTGTTCCACTTCACGAGGGAAAGATTAGCCAACTCTCATGAGAAGTTAGAAACAAATAGTAATTAATGAAATCTTAAACTTACAAATATCATATAGTTAGAAACAAATTTATATATCCAAAATGTCATAAAACGGAATAAGTAATTTTTTACATAACTTATTTTTTGGGATATACAAAATATATTTTACATCTATCAAACTTTGAGATGGATTAGGGAGAAGATAGGTTTATGCGAAAGGTATTTTGAGAAGATGCATTAGCATTATGTAAAAGGATTCTTATTTAAGAATAACAATAAAATGAGGTGTCACCATCTGGTGGGATAACAAATTAATGAAACTAAAATAAAACGATGTTAAATGCTACACTAATCCTTGTCCAACTGATGACACCAAAGTTAATGATACATTAATCCTTGTCAAACTGGTGAGAACAAATTGATGAAACTGACATGTAATGATGTTAAATGCTACACTAATCCTTATCAAACTTTCAGACTTTATATTTAGACTGAGTTGAGAATATACAATTTAATCCGATTTATTTGATGACAGATTAGAGATTTTGTAAATTGATTCAATCCATTGATAATTATAGATTACATGTGTCGGCTCATGTACTCATACTTTTTGTTTTTTATTTTTTTTTCATGAGCAGCAAAGGCAATGGATCTAACGAAGGTGTGCAGACGCTACAAACACAAGTAGACAAAGTGGACATGGCGGATGTGGTGGTAAAATGGTGGGAAGGATGCAATGACACAGTGGTGTGAGGGACGACAAACAGGACAAGTGCAACAACCTGAGTGAGATGCCTTGGTGGGCTTGTAACAACATGAACACATGAAATAAATCCATAAAAAATTTAAATATTATTAAATTATTATAATTATTTTTAAAATTTAAAATATATTTAAATTAGGGATCAATCCACCATAATCCAATTTAAATCCGTATAATATATGAATTATGTGATAGTAAAAAAAATAAATTAAACTCAATCTAATTCAAACTCATAATAATTCAAGTTGACTCACCTAGGTTAAAACCCGTATTAACATCCTTATTTATAAAATAAATAACTCAAATAAGTTTATTTTTATCATAAAAATGTAAAATATAAAATTATGATGTCACATAATTAACTCACCATTAATTTTACTTTGTTAGATTTTTTTTAATAAATTTTAAAGAATTCATTCTCTTTCTTAATTTATTTTGTTTTGTTTATTTTTGGAGATTGCTTAATGAAACAAGTATGAAAATATTTAAGCAATTTTTCATGTTACATAAAATTCATCTAATGGAATGTTGTTTTAAGGAACTAGTATTTTACTTAAGCATCTCAATAATAACTCTCAATACTTTTTATAATAATTAAAAAACACTTAATAAATTTTTGTTAATATCAATATTATAGAAGACATCAAAAATTAATTTGACACACAAATGACTTTTAATTACAATTATTTTTGTATTTTTCTATATTTATTTGTTTTTCATTGTCAATTCTTACTTTATAAGTAACATATCACTCTTAAAAAATTTCTCGATCATGAGTCATATGATTTATATTACCATTATTTATAAGTCAATATATGAATTGTATAATACATTATTATAAGGAGATGTTTCTCTTTTAATTCATCTTCTGTAACCTTATTCTTCTTGTGATGATTTGTATATTTTGTCTACATGTCTCAAACATTTGTGATATTTTACATTTGACCTCCAATAACACTTATTATATGGACAAATATTTTTCTTGCAATAATGTGATTTCTTCTTATAAATCTTCATTGTTCTTACACTTATAAAATATATAACACTTCTCGCAAAATAATTTTAAGTATATCTTTTGTGTTTTTGAATGAAACATTCAATGTTTGATATATCTCTAGTTTAAAATCCATATATTTCTTAGTTAACAATTTAAATTCTTTCACTTTTTGTATTTCAATTTTTTTTAATAAATTTTCATATCTTAAATGTTCTCATTACTTTCATATTTTTCTTTCAAATAATTAGTAACTTAAAAATTATGATTTTGATAAGAATAATTTATGAAATACTAACAAACAAATACGATTTTACTTTTATCTTTTTTAATTTTATTTTCTATCAAATTTTTATTTAAATTATTAATATTGGATTGATAATATAATTTTTTTATTATGATTTCTTATAAATGTAATTCTTCAAGATAAAATTGTATTCTTATTACAGTAAATTATAATTTTTGTCGTTAAAAAATAGAATAATGATTTATTAAAAAAAATTATTTTTTTATTTTATAAGTATAATAAAAACCAAAAACTCTTATTATTATTAAAAATATTTATATAATTTATATATATATATATATATATATATATAATGAAATAAAATTATGATAAAATATTAAATATTAATAATATGTCAATTATAATTATTTAATTAAAATAATAATTTAAAATTTTTTATTTTAAAAATAATAAAAATATTTTAATATATTTTAAAAAATATATATAAAACATATACTCGCTCTTATATGTATTTTTCAAATATGTAAATATGTAATATATGTATAGACGTGATTAGTATATAAAAATGAAAAATGATACTTTGACAACCCAAAATAATAGTTTCTTTATTTTTATTTTATTAAATCAATGATAGATTATTATATTAATAAAGTGAATTGTTTATAAACTCAAAATAATAGTTTTACTTTATTTTATTTTTATTAAATCAATGTATAGATTATTATATTAATAAAAGTGAATTGTTTATAAGGTTGGATGTTTTTTTTTTTTTTAATATCACCGCTCAAGAATGGAAAATGATTGAGTCCTAGTCAAAAATCAATCTGAGTCAGATACATAACAAGAGTGGTATAAAATGAGACTCCTTTCAGAGTGGGATTAGCTAAGCAGAGTGAGGTTTGGTACCCACAACTTGGATCATTGCACAGTGGAATTCCACTTTCGCTTTGAAGTTCGAACGAGCATTGTGCATACGCAGGCTTCGTTCTAGGTTCTGCCATGTGCTCGCATTCCCCGAACTACCATTTGAAATGCAGAGCTTCTGCACCTACCATCATCTTCCTCATCTGTTCCCTCTTCACTACCGTCAATTCCCAGGTTCTCTTTCTCTCTTTCATTTCCCTTTCAAACGAAGAGATCTGTGCATATTTACTCTGAATAGAACTGAATTTGGCAGGTTCTAGGAGCTTGTTCAGCTGCTACGGATTGTGGGCCAGGTCTCTTCTGTGGAAATTGCCCCGCTTTGGGCTTGAAGCAACCCATCTGCATCAGAGGCCAACCCACCCTTCCCACACCCATCGTAAGCTTCTTCCTTTTTCCTTTGAGCTTCTCCAAAAACCAATTTTATGCGACTTTTCCCTCTGGGGCACGCTGCAGGTCAATGGGTTGCCCTTCAACAAGTACACTTGGATAGTGACCCACAATTCCTTCAGCATAGTCGATGCACCGCCTCTGCCCGGTGTTCAGAGAATAACATTTTACAATCAAGAAGACTCTGTCACTAATCAGTTGAGGGTATGCCATGTGTAGGGTTTGCTTGCTTTCTTAATCTTTTTTTTTTTGTTTGGTTTTGTAGTTTAGTTTTTATTTATTTAGTTATTTATTTTAATGTTTATGTTTCTTATGCGTTTGATTTCTTGATGGTTTAGAATGGAGTGAGGGGACTGATGTTGGATATGTACGACTTCCAGAATGATATCTGGCTCTGTCATTCATTTCGCGGGCAATGCTTCAACTTCACTGCATTTGTAATTTAACCTTCTTTTCTACATATTTATTGATTTTACTACAAGTTTTTAAATTTCGGTCATGGTTGTGTCACGTTTCTTGATATTGACGGAAATTGCTAACAAATGCACGAATGTGGCTACAATTATGTTGTAGCCGATAATGCGGTTACAGACCGTTTTTTAAAACCTGTGCTTTTTGTGCTTGCATTACGATGGGACATTGTTTAATATTCCTATTAAATGTTCTCAGCAACCAGCTGTTAATACTTTGAGAGAAGTGGAGGCGTTCTTGACAGAAAATCCAACTGAGATTGTCACCATCATAATTGAAGACTATGTGCACACTCCAAAGGGGTTGACTAATCTGTTCACAAGTGCTGGACTGGATAAGTATTGGTTTCCTGTGTCCAAGATGCCGAAGAAGGGTAACGATTGGCCCACTGTGACGGAAATGGTTCAAGCAAATCACCGACTTGTTGTTTTCACTTCAGATGCTTCAAAGGAAGCAGATGAAGGAGTAGCTTATCAGTGGAAACATATGGTCGAAAATGAGTGTGAGCACTATATCATTAATTGTTTAAATTTGTGTATCTTCTTAGCACATGATTTGTAAGGACTAACTCATAATTCACTTGCCATCAGCTGGAGATCCTGGAGTGCAACAGGGTTCTTGTCCGCACAGAAAAGAATCAAAGGCATTAAATTCTAGAAGTCAATCACTTTTCCTGATGAATTATTTTCCAACCTATCCAGTTGAAGCTGACTCATGCAAAGAGCATTCAGCTCCACTTGCTGATATGGTCAATACTTGTTACAAAGCTGCAGGGAATTTGCTGCCCAACTTTGTAGCTGTTAATTTTTACATGGTATTCCTTATCTGTTCGGGTTTGTTAATTGGAACTTAATCATTAATCTGTATACATCATTAACTGTGCAATTCTACTTATGCATTCTGACTTAAATTTCATGTAGAGGAGTGATGGAGGTGGTGTTTTTGATATTGTGGATAAAATGAATGGCCACACATTGTGTGGATGCAGTACAATCACAGCCTGCCAGGTTTGTCTGCTTTTCTTGTCCAGATATTTATTTTATTTTATGCCATTTGTTCCTGAATCTTCGGTAGTCTGATATTCTATATTTCTGTATACGTCTGTCGTAATTATGAAATTTTGGATTTAAAGTAATGTAAAGAGAACGAATCACTAATTCATATTAACGAAGATGTATTACATTGTAGTGATATTTGGTATGCTCACAAAACTTAAAGTACCAACTCTTATTTATACTGATCATAATCCTAATTAATTAAGAAAACAAATTATGACAAGGAATTAGGGTTACCAATCCTAAGAGATATTGTGGAAATAGGGAAACTAATCCTAGAGAACAATCTGTGATACGATAACACAATTTTTATATATTTTGACAGTTTTCATTCCCACACTAGTAATTGGAAAGCTAATTGAGTATAATTTTACATTTATTTCACTGTAGAAAGTCTCTGGAATTTCATCTAATTTACGAATATCAATTCATTTATTCTAGAAACATAATATGAGACTTTCAGTTGATACTCTTTGAAGCCTGAATACGTATCCCATGGACATCCGGTTGATTTAGATTTTCCTTCCAAATATAGAATTAGACCAATGGTCATTTAGTGATCATATTCAAAATTTCTCTACAGTTTTTCAAATATAAGCATGTTTTTGTATAATATCTTCAAAGAAAAAATAAGGTTGACTTGGATGATGGAAAGAACGGTTTAGTCACTTGTATTGAAGCTTTTATATTAGAAAAAAACTATGGTTCAATTTGATTATATCTCAAAAAATTTCTAAGCAATTGGCGTACTTCATAAAGAGGAAAAGTAGTAATTTTCCATGTTCATTCTGTGTCCCAAGAAGCAAATTCTGGTTACGAGAATGACACTCTTGCTGCAATTTGGCAGGCGGGTGCACCCTTTGGGTCTTGCAAGAATATTTCTGTTCCTAGTGCAAGTCCACTGACTAATACGGCTGGAAGCTTTACTGGATCTGTCCAGTTCTCTAAATCAGCTTCGTCTGTCCATCATCCAAATTGTTTGCTTCTTGCCGTCTTTTACTTCCTACAAAGTCTTGTTGCAGCTGCGATGACCAAGCACTGTTGTATGACATATGTAAGCTAGTCTTTCAAGAGGAACTCTAGTATCTTGGCATGTAGATTGCAGTTTGTGCCGAGCTATGAAATGTCATGGGACTGTTGCTAGGTTAGAAAAAATAGATATAGACAAATTTCTTGCTGAGGCTATGTTCAAGGATCGGTGAAGTCATGAGATACCAAGAATTATCTGGAGCTATAAGTAGTTCAGGTATGTTATATCTTGGATGTTGCAACTCTGGATGCATACACTATATTTATTTTCTCTCATTGAACATAGATGCCTTATATCTGTTTTCCAATCTGCCATAATCGTGTAGGGAAAAAATTATTTTCCAGATACTGATGTTAATTAGGAATTGAAGTGAATCAACTGACCATGCCCTTATTTTTATGAAATATAATTCATTTGAGTGTGGTAAAGATGCTACAAATTGTACAAGTTAAAGAACATGTAACCTAAATTCTGCCACCAATCTTCACATTCAAGTTGGATTGGACAATACTTCTCTACTGTTTGTGATTCTGACTTCTATTTAGTAGTGTTTTCTCTGATTGAGTTTGTGTGCTTCATGAGCTTGAAATCTGAGCGTGACTAGTTTATGTTTCCTAAGCAGTGGGGAATTTTTTCTTACTGATTTGTGAGCCTAGTGGAAGAGTTGCTTATGACATAAACGAAGTATGTATTAATCTATTACTGTTGGTATCGCGCAGCGGAATGTTTACGTTAGGACAAAAACCAAGAGAGGGTGAATAGAATTGGTTTCTTATAAAAATTATCCCTTTAAAAATTTTCACCAGATTTTACCGATTAAAAGATAATATAATAGAGCACTTGAAAAATAAAGAGATAAAGGAAGAAGATTACACAAGTAATTTATACTGGTTCAGATAAAAAAACCCTACGTCCAGTTGTTAATCACTTTAAAAGAGGATTAATTTAGTCACTAAAATAATGGTTCTCAAATAAACAGATTACAAATAAAAAAATTAGAAAACACATCTCTTGAGTCACATAAGAGATGAACACTTCCTTTGAAGCCACAAAGGATGAAGACAGTTTTCCTAGAGACAGCACAACACTTAATTCACTGAGAAACCCACTCAGTGATTCTTATCGCTTTTAGCCCACACTAGGTTTTCAAAGCCTTTTTTGTTCCTTACTCAAAGTTCTCTCAGCAATCACAGCTCTTAACTTCTGAGTATCAAAAATGTTTGTCTACTGCACCTTGCTGAGAGCATGAAAGTCCTTTAAATAGAGTTTTAGGGTTTCCGATTTTAGGGTTTTCGAAAATTAGGTCTGAAATTCGAAATTCAAATTCATAACTGTAGTGATAGTCGATTATCACATAGCCAATATAAGAAGATCAAGTTTGTCCAGAATAATCGATTATCCTGAGTGATAATCAATTATTCCATAGCCAATTTCGAATTTAAATCCATAATAGCCATAGATAATCGATTATCCTCAGAGATAATCGATTATTCCAGAGCCATTTTCAGAAAACTAAAGTTTATCCAGAATAATCGATTATCCTAAGTGATAATCGATTATTCCAGTGAGACCTTGATAAGAATGAAGCTTTTGTGGACAGACTAAGTACTGACTATCATGGATTCTATTTTTACAGACTCAAAATAACAAAACAAAGTTATTACAAGCAATTTCAAATGTATACAAGTCTTTTAATCTTGAAGTCCTTTATTTTTTAATCATCATCAAAATCTTTAGTCACTATATCCTTGCATTTTCAACAATTAAGATGATTGTCATTGTGGTTTACATGAGTTGATTTTTAAACCTCATAGACTGCTAAGTCTTTTGATGGATCTAGGGAGGCACTGATTTTGTCTTTTCATGATTGTGCACAAGGTGACGCGACCATTGTTAAGCATCAAATTTCGAAATTACGACTGTTTTTCCTTTTTTTTTCCTGCTTGTGTATATTGGTTGAGTGAACACTTATAACATATGTATTTGGTCAAGATGAATCATGTTATGAAAAACAGTCAAGAATCTACTGTCTTATTGACAAAATATATCTCAAGATTGTTCATGTTAACGATATATTTGTTAGCCTTTTCCTTTCTGCGCTCAAAATCTTACCCTTGGATACCCATATGGTTTGTCCTAGAATTGCATAACTTTCTTCCTTTTCTGAATAAATCTTTGCAGTTTTGTTTGTTGCTCTATATTTTATTCTTTTTTAGATGGTCACTTAAAGCATCTCCAATAGTATACCCTTTTCAAATTTTTACAAATTCACTCCAATGATAGGTTCTTATAAGCAACTCACCATTCAATTACCACTTATACCTGCTATGCCACATCAGTAATAATTATAATATATAATTAATTATTAAAATAAAATAAATTATATATTTAAATTAAAAAAATTAAAAATAAAATTGACATTGGAAATACGATTAACATTAATTAAAATACAAAATATTAAACAACAATGATAATAAAAATAAACAGAAGAATATTAGAAATATGAAAAAAATTGGGAAAAACAACTCTTATCAACGTTGTTTTTACAAGATGCGGTGCTTAAAATTGGGAAAAGTCACGTCGGATTGCTCCAACAACATTTTCTTATAAGCACGGTTACTTATAAGCAACTGAGATCATAAGCAACTTCCGTTGGAGTTTCTCTTAGGAACTTTGTATAAGTAAAGTTCTCCTAAACTTCCATTAAAATCATGACAACATAAGACATGTATGGTTATTTTTCCTTATTTATTTTTTTAATGGAAACTGTCAAGGGAGTATGAAAATTTTCTCTAGCAACATGTTGCCACTCTCATTACTAGAAACTTGGACGAAAAATTCCATGTCTTTTTATATAAAGAGTATTTAAAGTTGACTTAAGAATAAACTAGGTGGTAGAATTTTTAACTTTTGTAGCATAAGTTAATATTAACTTATCAAAAAAGTTTGTTTTTCTTATTTTTATGGTATAAATACATATGGAGAAGTTTATTCAAATAATTCTTAATTTATCTTAGTATCAAGTGAGCTCATCCTTTCCTGTAGATGAAGTATCTGATTATCAACCTTACCCGTCAAATAGGTCTAATCAATTTGGGTTTCTTGGTACCGTTTTGAAGCAAGTTGAATATTTCTTGTATTTTAGAAAATTTAATTTAAACTAAATTCTTCTTTTAAATTTTGAAAGAAAAGAATTTGAAGATCTTTTATTGAAGATTAAGTATGATATTTTTTACAATGGGTGGAAAATCTCACTTCTAGCAATGGATGGTGATTATGATGTTGATGTCGTTTTCCTGAATACCCTCTGATGCTGATTATGCTGTTGATACATAAAACAATTTTCACTATGTAAATTATTGGTAACTTTGTGTATTTCTTATACACCTTCATTACCAAATGTAGTGTTACGTAGTTTTTATTTTATTTTATTTATTATTTATCTCGATGGTTCATTTGCTTTGATCAATCGTTGTTCTTCAAATGCTTTATATGTTTGAGATGGTTAAATTAAAGTGTCGATATTGCGTTAACTTTTAACGATCTATTAATATCTAATTTTTGTGTTATCTTAGTAATGAAGTGTATTTGAGCATTTGTAATTTTTTGTTTTCACTAATATTTACAATGTTTTTTGCTTTAATTTTCAGGCTTTGTAGCTAGAAATCATTAGTTAACAACAGAGTTAGGATAGAATGGCTAGAAGCCCTTGATCCTTGATAAGGTTTGTATTGATAATTGTATGCCAATTATTCATATGGCATGTCTTTCTTTTCCACGGTCTTCACTTTTTTAATGATGTTGAAACAACCCAAGTTGTGTTATACATATTTTACCAAATTACTATGTCTATAATAGATATGGAATGGAACACGGGAAATTTAGTTTAAGAGAGGAATTTGCACGATCTGATTCATTATTTACCCCAACATCTGCAATTGAAAAATGAGTTAAACTTAAATTTGCTTCTGTTTGACATTTCAATTGATTGGAATCATGGTGGGTCACAAGTAGTAGTTGCTTCAATAATTGCTTACTGTGCGTTATTGAAAGGTCAAGAGGAAAAATAAATAGAATGTCGTAGGAGCTTAGATCCGCCGTTAGCAACAATTTTACAACAAAAATTAAGGAGTTCATTTGGAAATTTGAAAAACATATCAAGCACGAAACTCTGTCTGCGTTAATCACCAACATGGAGGAATAGTTGGATAAATCAAAGGCCTTATTTATTTGTTCTTATTTTTGTTTTATTTCTCTCTCTTTTTTTTTTTTTTTCATTTCTAATCAAATGAACAATAGGCTTGCTTGAAAGAAAACTCTGAAATCTTTGTTATTTTGGGTTCTCAGTTTTCAGCCGAACATATATATAAATTAGTGACGGCGAGATAATCTATTCCTTTTTAATTGTTTTATTTCTAATCCGTTAAAAGTTAAAAGTGGGGTGGAGCTAGGTAATTTATTATAATAAGAATAAATTATAAATCTCAACTACTTTAATTAACATCTCCACCACTTTAATTAAGGTGTAGTTGCGGAGTTAATATGTTAATTAGTCAATTTTTTATATAATTTTTTAGAAATATATAAATAATTTTTAAATTTTTATTTATTAATTAATAATTTTATTAAATAAATTATAATATTTATATATTAAAATAATTATAATAAAAAAAATAAATTTAATTAATTAATATTTATAATTTATTTATTATATTATAATATATTTACATATTTTAATAAAATAATATAAAAATATATAATATTTTAAATTATAATATTTTATTTTTATTTTTATTTTAATATATAATATATTTTTTAAAACATACTTCATCTCATAATATTTTTAGCTCAATAGAACAAAGATAAGAAGAACCAAAATAGATTTGATCGTTATTCCTCCTAATAAAAACTTTTGCTCTTATTTTAAATTTTACATTTGATCATTCTTAAGTATATTGTTAGTCTTTAATTAAGTTATTTTATAATTAACAAAATTAAGATAATTTAACTTCTCAAATTAATTGTATTAATTTGTAATTAGTTCATAAATTATGTATAAGAAATAAAAAGTATTGGTTTATGCATCTCTAGATTGATACATAATTTATTTTTCATTGTATACAAACAATATTTAGTTATAATTCGTACATAATTTAATTTTCAATATTTTTTCTCTATTATAGTCTCTTAAATATCTGACTATTATAAATTTTTTGGTTTAACTATTATAATTAAACTCTTTTTTCAGTTTTTTTTAAATCCATAAACTTTTTTACCCAGTGAATCAAAATTGTAAGCAAACCAATATTTAAACCATGGATAAAAAAATTACTCTGGATATAATTATACTCAAAACTAATTAGATTGAAAAACAGTTAAACGAAATATAATGAAATGATGAGTCTTAATAATAATCGTATAAAATTTTGGAAAATTCAAAAAAAATATTAACTATCTTTTTTTTTAATTACAATATTCTTAGAATATTGGTTAATAAGTTAAAAGGAATTTATTTATTTTTTACAATTAATGAATTGGTTTATTTAAAACCTGCGAAGTATATTAAAATTATAAGAAAGTCCAGTTTTATACATCGCAATATAAAAAAATCTTTTCATTTCTTAAATGCTTTCATTTTAAATTTTTTATTTTATACAAAATATATATATATATATATATATATATATATATATATATATATATATATATATATATATATATATATATATATATATATATTCGGGATTGAACAAGTAATAGCTTAAAAGCACTTATTAGGATAGGATTTACGTAGTACCGACTCAATATTTGGTACATTCTTGACCTCACAACTCATATACCTCTTGGGACATACTTGAATTGAAAATACATAATTGAGCTTAATCATGATTAAAGTCCTGTATGAAGTTAATGATTGAATTGATTAAAGACTCTGCTTTTTTGAAGGCCTTATCCTACACAACTACATAAACATTTTGTTTCTATGCATTTCCAAAATGACGACACTTTGTTAAATGAACATGGAATCGGCACATATTACAAATCTGAATTTTAAATTTTAGATAATTTTTAATATTAAAATATTAAATAACTTGTATTTTAACTTTATTCTTTTAATTTTATTTGGATTAAAGAATGAATTTAAGGCTTGAAAAAAATGTAAAAAATAAAATAAAATTTAGAGTTATTTGAATTAAAAGAAACGAGTAAAAACTTAAATTAATTTATTTATTATTAATAATTTTTATTATTTTATTATTTTTTAATTATTTACTATTATAATAAAAATATATATATATATATATTATTAATTATTTTTTAACATAAAAGATAATATTTGGATAGATAATCGATTATATATTAATTATGTAAAAAAATATTTTTCACTTTTTTTTCTTTTTTTTTGAAATGTTTTATTTTAATTTTATAAACTTTTACATTGAAATGCGTAAAATTATCGAATTTATTGGCATCTCATGTTTCTTAACACTTTAGAGTAAATGATCGGATAATATTATAAATTAATATCCTATTATGAAATTATTTAATAATTATTTATAATAATAAAAAGTTGTCATTCAATTTTTTTCCTTTTCTTTAACTCTTGACCCATTAAATTTGGAGTTACGAAATTAATGTTGGGTATTTTTTTAAAGAAGGATATATGCATTCAACACAATTTTCTCTTGAATTTAGTAAACTCATTGTTCTGCAACTGTGTTCCAAAGCTAAGTTTCTCACGTGACAAAGAAAGAAAAAGTTTCGCACATGACAAGAAAGAAACAAGGAGCAAAGCATTGGGTTTCTTCACGCAACCTTATTATGTAAGGAATCTGTCCCGAAAAATGTAGATGAAGCGGTGATCAGAAGATGCGGCGGCAGAGGGTAACCCCATCACCCACTGGGAGCTGGCAAATCTCAATCCTTGAATCTTGAGCCAGGTACTTGTTGAGCTCCATCACATAGCTGCGAAGAGGCTTAATGTAATCCATCATCGGTGCATCAGGCGGCGCCACCACAGATCCAGCCCATAGCGTGTTGTCGTATCCGATCAGCCCTCCAACTTTCACCAGCTCAATTACCCTCTTGTGATAGTTCAAGTAATTGTTCTTGTCAGCATCCACGAAAACGAAATCGAACTTTCCTTTGTTATTTTCCTGCAGAATTGACATGGTTGATTTATTATCAAGGACAACCTAATATTTCTATTAACCAAGTACACAAATTGAGATGGAGAGAAACGGTGCACCCACATCTTGAAGCAGCTCATCGAGAAAAGGAAGAGCAGGTCCTTCTCTGAAGTCTATCTTATCAATCACACCAGCTTTTTCAATTATGGGCAATCCTAATTCATAGTATTCGCGGTTCATGTCCAAAGCCAAGATCTAATATAAACAAAACCAATTAGATATGCTATGAACTATAAATTATGTGAAAGAAAATTCATGACTTTTATTATGATGGGCATGATTCAAAGTTTAATCATGTGCTAAGAGAGGACCTTTCCATCAGCGGGAAGAGCCAGGGCAGTGGAGAGAAGAGAATAACCAGTGTATACACCAATTTCCAAGGTGTTCTTGGCATTAATGAGCTTCACAAGCATGCTCAGAAGTTGCCCTTCGTCGGGTGGTGTAGCCATCAGGTTCCTGAGTATTTCCCAAGAATTAGAACTAACACCGTTTGTTCTGGACAATGCATGTTTATCATAAGCAAGTGCAAAAAATAACCATGACCTTACCGGGGGTGTTTTTCTGTCATCTCGCGGAGCTCCTTCAAGCACTCGTGCTCTCTTGGATAAACACTGGTTTTAAGTATATACTGCAATGGTAGATTTGTTGGCGAAAAACTTGAAGCGAAAATTTGTTATAATTAATTTGAAAGAAGAATGCAAGATTTGGTGAAGGGACCTGATAGAGTGCATCGCTCTGAAGGAGAGTCTTATGAGAAAGATCTTTGACGCCGAAGAAGTTGTTTTTCTGTTCCTGTTCGTTAGCCATGTCTGTCTTGAATCTCCTCTTGCTAGCTCCTCCTGATTTTCTTCTTATTTTAGTAGCGACGATGCTTATTTATTATCAGCAACACAAGTGCCACGTTTAAACAATTATACCCATGCTTTGCACGCCGTAGCAAAGCAAGAGTTACGGTCAAAGTTAACAAGTATTAATTATATATTTTTAATAATAACATATGCACTCTTTTAATAATAATTTTAATAGTATTAATTATATTATTATACACTCTTTTAACAATAGTATTAATTATACACCTTTTTTTAATGATTTACAATAAAAAATATAATATTATTTCTTCATGATTTTTTTTCTCTCCTAATTAGTTGATCGAGTAATTATCTTTATATATATATATATATATATATATATATATATATATATATATATATATTTACATCTCTTGTGCTTCTTTACTGAAAAAATAAAAAATTTTAATTTCTCTTTCTTTCTCACAGAAAATATGATAATATGATTTGTTTCCAAACTTAAGTACTTATCTATTAAAAGAAAATCACTTTATTAAGTATATGTATTATATTTTAATGATTTTATTTCATTTGTAGACAACTACATTACTCATATGAAAATATTTGTTTATAAAGAGACAAATTATGTGTTGTACAGTGATTAAAAGAACGACAAAACTATAATTTAATATTTTTAATTTCAACGGGCTTCAAAACATTAGGTGAAAAAGTGGATATTTAATGACTAATATTATAAGTAATGGGCGCAAAAAAATTGAGTAGGTAGATTGATAAAAAGAAATAATTAAACTTTATTTTTCAATAGTATATAACTTTAGTATTAAATTTAAATAATTAATGTATCTTATTTTATATATATATATATATATATATATATATATATATATAATCTTTAAACACTTTAATAATAATTATACATTTTTTTCTAATTGTTTTCCTTTCATATTATATCATTGGTATTTATATTTCTATAGAAATAATTATTTTACAGCTACTTTGGTGTATTTAATATTCTTTTTTTCAAGTCGAACAAAAGTTGCTTCTTCCAAGGAATAGTTTTAATATTCAGATTCACCTAACACTTTACATTTATATATATGATTCTTTAAAATTGTAGCAGTTATCGTATTTTTTTTTACTTTTTATCTCTTTTTTTTATTTAGTTTTCTTTTATTTGTATTTTTTTCTCTTTTTAAATACTTTTTTATAAATTATCTAAAATAAAAAATTAATTAAACTTTTTAAAAAAGTTATACTTTAAAATAATATATTTTAAAATTTATTTTAGATAATAATATAATTTAATCAAGTTCCTCTTTAACTGCACAAAATATTAGATAATTTAATATTTTCGTCTAATAAAATAAAAAGTAAAAACAAATATAATATAAAATAATATCATATTAACGTAATATATAAAAATTATTTTTTTCTATTTTATCAATATATTCTATTTTATTTTATATTAAGAATATTTAAATTGATTTTGTATTGATTAATTAAGATAAATAAACTTAAAATTAATTTTTTTATTAATATTTAATTATTGAAATTTCTAAAATTTAATCTCGAATATTTATAAATAAATATTAATTTTTAGAAATTTTAAAATAATTAAATAATATAAATATAACTTAATAAAAAGACTTATATAATTAAAAATAAATAAATATATGAAATTAAAATATGGACAATTATATCATAAATAAATAAAATTAAATTAAAATACTTCACTTAATCTTCACATTAAATGTTATAAACGGGAAGAGATAAATCCCTTATCTTATTTTCTTTAAAATAATAATTTTTATATAATTTTTATTTTTAAAATAATATTTTATAATAAGTTTAATATTTACTTTTTATAAATAAATCTTCAAATCACCTAATATCTATGATTTAATATATTATATTTAAAAAATATATATGATAAATTTTAAAGTATTATAATTATTATTTATAATAATAAAATAATAAGAATTACATTAAATATTATTTAGTATTTATAATAAATAATAAAAATAATATTTACAAAAATAATAAAATAGTAATTAGTTTTATTAATATATACAGATTATTGTTATTATTAATTATAATATAATAAATGAAACTTTAGGTAGTACTTTTAGATAAACTAATAAAAGCTACTTGGAAAAAAAAATTAATATATATATATATATATATATATATATATATAAAAGATAAATAGTACATCTTAACCTGACTTATCCAAAATTCGTAATTTTTACTATGGTAAATATCTAAAACTTTAATTTCTTTTAAAATTCAATATCTAAATTGTGATAAAATATTTTAAATTTTCGACAAAAATAAATTTCTATCCAAAAATTCTTCTTAGATATGCTATGAAATTAGACGAGACATAAACTTGTATATTGGTGTTCTAAAAATGTCCGGAACCACCTGTCTTATTCCTTAGTTTCTGTCTAACTATTCGTTCTCTTTGTCTTTCCCTACAGCTATTAACAACTGGCTGGCTACCTTATCTAATAAAATTTATCATGTAAGTTTTTTATATATAATATATTAAATTATAATATTTTTTATTAATTATAATATTTTTATAATAAAATATTATTTTATTTATTAAAAATATTATTATTATAAAAAATTTATTATTATTAAGAAAAGACTAAAAAAATATTTATTTTTCTAAAGAGAGAAGATAAAAGGCTTGCATTGAGAAGAGATAAACTTGTAATTAATGTTGGAATTAAAAATAAAAGGAAAACTAAAGTAAAACTTTAACTATAAGTAAAGTGGAGAAAGAGAAGAGGGGAACTAATTTATAACGTAAACATCAAGAGCGGAAATAATTTATAACGTAAACATGATTGATTTAAAAATAAAAAAAATCAAACTTGTTATTATTATAAGTATTAAATGTAAGTAAAAATAAATAAGACAGAGGAAAGAATAGAAAGAAAAACATGTAAATATTCTTATTATTTATCTTATATGATTATTTAGTGAGATATTTTAAAAAAAAATTATTTACTCATTAATTTTTTTATCTATTTAATTTATTTTTAATTATGTATTGATTTTTTTTATTGATTTGCATTTATATTATGCATGGTTTGATTATACTACTTCTCTGTTTGACGAAGTCAAAATGGAGAAAAATTAATATTGAATCAACTATCTCACTAACACAAAATATCTAGTAGCTTCATTGCAAGAATACATTTCTCTACAGAACTCAAAAAGGTGTTTGTCTTCATCAAATAGGGAGGAGACTGATAAAGACAAGATAAAGATTGATAATCTTAATTATTTGATGAAGTCAAAGAAGTTATAGGTTAAGGGTTGATGTTTAGTAAGTCTGCATTAATATAAGTATGTATAATTATCTATCCATTTCTACATCATGAGGTTCTATCATTTGAAAAAGATAAAAATGTCTCTAAACTTTTTAATATGTTAAAAATTATTTTAATCAGTTAATATACTCTTGAGTATTTGAATTAACTGATATATTTATGAATTAATCAATTAAAATCAGTTAAAAACACTTTTGACATATTTTTAACTAATGTATTTTCGAAATAATCGATTAAAACCACTTAAAACATGTACTGTCATCGTTTTAACCGATATATCTTCAATTTAATCAATTAAAAACACTTAAGAAAGTTTTAGAAAATAGTTTGTCAATATTTTAATCGATTAAACCTCGAATTAATTGATTAAAATAATCACTTAAAAAGTTTATGGTTAATGTTTTAAATCGATTAAATCAAGTTTTTATCTCGTTAAAAATATTTAAGACAATTTAAGAAATGTTCTACCAGTTTATTAATCGATTAAACTTCGAATTAATCGATTAAAATCACTTAAGGAATTTTTGTTCAAATATTTTAATCGATTAAATCAAGTTTTTATCAATTAAAATCATTTGAAAAGTTTTTGAAAATCTTTTGCCAATATTTTAATCGATTAAAACACGAATTAATCGATTAAAATCTCTAAAGGACTTTTTGTATAAATGTTTTAATCGATTAAAATATATTTGTATCAGTTAAAATATTTTTTGAAAAGTCTGTTGAACACTTTAATCGATTAAAAGATATTTTAATCGGTTAAAATAGTTAGAATCAATATTTTTAATTGATTAAAAGATGAATTAACCGATTAATTAAACCAGTTTGCTAGAAAAAATCTCTCTCTATATATACAGATTTGATTCAATGCTTTAAAAAATATCTTTTAGAAAAAATTCAAACAATCAATAAAGATATTTTTCGAGAGATGTGTGCTACTTTCAGGGGGAGTTTTCAAAGTTCTTTCTTGAGGCATTTTTGTTTTCTTACTTGTGAAGAAACTCATTTTGCATTGAGATTTATCCATCTATACAACCGGGTTTGAGTGTTCAAGTCTCTTCATTCTCTCTTTTCTATTTTGAATCTGTATAGTCTAAGTGTCTGGAAGGTTGGACATTATTTCTGCAACTGGTTCTTTGTTGTAGGTTGAGTTCAAGAACTGAAATTTGGTTAAGAACTAGATGTAGGCTTGTAATGTTGGTGAACTAGTACAAATTTTGGTGTCTCTTTGCCTTTTCTTTCATCTTCTTTAAACTTTGCTCAATTCTGGCTTGTTTTCTGGGTTCAATTCTTAATCTTTGAAATTGTTAATCTATATCTGTAAAGTACGAAAAAGTTTTCATAAGATCAATTCACCCCCTCTTGATCTCAGCCTATATTTCTAACGTCTCACATCGATTAATTTGTTTGATTTAAAAATTCCATTTGTAACATTCTGTAAGTGGGCTGCATAAGCAAACTTGAGCTTCCAAGAAGAGTAAAGTTTGACGGTATCAATTTAGACATTTCTTTCTATCAATTTGGTCCATCTCAAATTATCTCTCCTACAAAAGAAGAAAAAAGAAATATACAATGTGGATGTATGCATGTATATTTTTTATTATGATAAAACTATGTAAAATGCAACAAATTAAGAAAAATTGAATTATGCTAT